TTCAAGCACCATATCATAAAGCATAAATGTGTGACTATATTTCATCAAGTGTACATCTCACCACAATATACCATATGATCCAGAATGTTTACAGAGTTGTGACAGATACAGAAAGATGTAGGTTTTCTTTCTTACTTTCTTGAGTGAAACAAAGAGAAATCTGAAAGGGAATCAAACTTTTTTATGGTGAAACACATTGTCAAATATGATTGTGCATGGCCTCTTTTATGTGGACCAAAATATGAACATTGGTCTTTGTAGAACAGGGGAGATGGGATAAATACTTTAAATGTATAAATTCATTTGACTATCCACAGTTTATTGTTGGGCTGCAAGTTTTAACACCTGTGTGGGAAAAGAAAAATCCATGACCTCTGTAAAGTATATGATGTAGCATTCAATTTCCCTGCATCTGATCGATAAGCAAGCAGGAAATTATATCTTTTTCCATGGCAGACAAGCATAATTAAGCAATAAGGCAATGGAGGTAGCTGCGATTATCTTAGGATGCACCTGGGAGATGCCTTGTTGCTATTTTAAAACAACTTTATGCTAAGCGAACTGTATTACTTTCTGCTGCGAAAGATAAAGCTGGCAGTGTAGAATGCTCACGAACAGCAGTTTCAGTTGCTTCACAGAGAATAATGCAGTGCACTCACCCCGAGCAATTAGACTGCTCCTTCAATACAAGCAATGATGAAGTAAGCTGTAAACATTTAATTGACAGTTCATAACCAGAAAAAACAATTATGCTTTGGCTAGTTGCCAGAGAGTCAGAAACCTGCATTTTTACCAATTTAGAATAAAAATATGTTGCCCCCAATGCTTGACTTCTAGGGAAGAAATCTCTGCACAATTAATGCTATTGCATCCATGTTCTAATTTATGCATTTTAATTATACCAAAGGCCCAGTGAATAATTAATGCAGGTAAAACAATAGGTCTGAAACACACCAAAAATGTATCACTTTTTAACAGGCTTTTGTAGATTTCAAAGAGCTAATGAAAACACTTAAACTGTTTAGTTGCAAATATAAGTCCAGTGCATGCAATGAGATACTAAGTACACTCTCCAGTGGGGTATTAGGGATGACTGTCTTTAAGAGTGAGGCTCCACTGACTTGAGTCAAAGGAGTTTAGAAATCCCACACAGATGATATGTTGCATGTTCTTACTGTTGGATGGGCTGGGTTTGACATGGCTTGTTATATGGGAATTTCATATTTTAGTGCTGAGAATCCATTTCACACCCCACCTTCAAGCTTTCACATCATATAACAGCATGCAGCAGATTTCTCACATGGAAATCTAGAAAGGAATAGGGAAAATAAAAGGAAACTAAATGTTTGTTCCAAACTTAAGAGGTGAGAAAGACCTAGTGATTGCACCCGGACTAATCTTTGTGTTGAGGCGAGGCAGCTGCATACTATAACCACTCAGGAGACAAACTCTTCCTGTAGTTCTGACACACTATGCTAAGAGGTGATGTCTGTGTTACTGTGTAAGGAAGGCACATTCGGTTCTCAAAGCTTGCAGGCCATGCCCTTTGTGGAATAAGGCTTTGGGACTCTTTTTATAAAGATTTCAAAATTTGCAGGTCTGCTGAGGGCAGGTTTGCAGACAGCAACTCCATTTAGTTATGGAAGCCATGTGACAGAAAAACAATGCACCTCATTCCTGCTCATGATTGGATATACTAATTACAGCAAGTGCTGAATTACCACAACCTGTGTACAAGTGCATGGTACTCACAAATAACACATTGTGAATGTGATCATGGGTACCAAATTAACTGATATATTCCCAACTTTTGTTTTCTGTATTTGTCACATGTGCAATTTGCTTTTTCTTTTCTCAGGTAAAATGACAGCAGTATATAATAATGACCAACACCAGAACTGTTGCCACTGCTTCTTTTTGAAAATCCACCCATTTAAAGGCTTCAATATGGGTTTAGGGCGACTAACCTGACACTCCATTTCTTAACATGTTTATCGATCGGCATAAGAAATAAATATTGAAAACAATGCCCTCTGTGTCTATATAATCTCTGTTTCCTTGATTATCCATTCAATGCAACCAGAGACCATTAGAGAACCAGTTACCCTGAAAGATAATACATGTTATTGGAGTCCTAGCTATAAGTTAGAGCAGCTTGAGATAGCTCCAAGTTATATCACCCTGGTATGATCCTCTTACAGGGTTGAGTAGCATCTGAGTTTACCTGGCGTGCAGTATACCCTAACCACATGCTGCAGCTGAATGAAGGCAAGAATGATACAGATTATGAACAAGATGAGAGTTCCCCTATGCCAAGGGAGCTAGTCGTACCCACTACTTTTCTAGCCTTTATATATCATAGAATACAGAAGACAAAAGACAACTTGCTTAGTACACAACTCAACTGCATAAGGGCCTTGTTACACAGTAATTTTGGGTAGTTCCTGGAGCTCTTAATCCCTGGATTGTCTACACATTAATACCTGAAACTAGTTTTAAGCACTCCTTACCTGACTCAAAGTTCCACTACTCCAGGGCAGGATTATTTGTGCTCTGTGTTACCCAGCTCCTGTTATACTAAGCGGTAGCCACTCTAGGCTACACCTTAGTGTAAACACCCTACCTGCCCTGCTCCTGCACTGGCCCAGTTACTCCCCTCCATCTTCCCCAGCACCTCAGACCTCCACTCACTGGCCCCCACCCCTGCTTACTTGTGGCTGCCCACATTGTCTGTCCCAGGGGAGCAGGCAGGGAAGGATTAACCTGCCTGCGCAGGCACTGCTGCTCCTCTCTGGGCAGGCTCAGCTCAGAGAAGAGCAGCAGCCCAGCAGTGACAGCCAGGCAGGCACGTTAACCCTTCTTTGTCTGCTCCCCTGGGATAGACACATAGGAATCTAAAAGTAAGTGGTGGAAAGGGGGAACCCCAAGAGGGTGGAGGCGAGAAAAGGAGCCCTGGGGGCAGAGAGAAGCAGGAGGAAGCCCATTGGAGTTATGGTGGGGATTCTTACCTTTCAGGCCTCTGCTGGCCTAAAATGCAACTGCTTCAAACTCAAACTAGCCTTAACACCCATCAACATTTGTGCAGCTCATAACATAAGGTGTAACAAAGCCTTAAGCCTGCTGTCTCTGAGCAATGTTATTTGAAAGTACAGACACATATCTGTGCAAGGTAAAAATGTTGGAATAACAGCATAATTGCATGTATTCACATAGGCTGATCCAGGATTTACTCAAGTGGCTTGTGGCACACAGTATCTCAGACTGCAGGGGTGAGGGCAAGGCATGGCTGGTGCCCCCATGTCAGCAGGGAGCAAGATGGGGACCAAATGAACAGGGGGAGTACCCACCCCCTGTTGACATCACTGTTGCTGTTTTTGGCCGATCTGGGGGTGGGGAAAGGCCCCAGACCACCTCTGGCCCCACTCCAGCCAGAAGCTATGGGGAGCAGTTGCATGAGGATCCCACATCCTCCACAGATAGTGGTGGTGGCACACTTTCTTCCTTTCTGTGTCTACTCCCTGCCCTCCCCCCCTGCCTCCCTACCCACACCCCGGTGTCCCCTGCTGCCCAGAAGCAGGTACTAGAAGGAGAAAACTCTACACCACTGCCACTGTCCCTGGCCAAGCCAGGGTCCCTGTATAGCTGCTTTCTGTATTATGGGGTAGGAGTTCTCCCTGTGCCTTTATCATCTATGAAAAATGGTGGCAGCATACAGGTTCCTCCTTCCAGCACCCGCTTGGAGCCAGTGGGGGAACAGCTGTTGGGGGAGGCAGCACAGCTAGAAAGCAGGTGCTGGAAGGAGGAATCTGTTCACTGCAACTGCTGTCCCCTGCTGAGCCTGACACCCCACACAGTCATCGCCCAGACTGGAGCAGAACAGGGGGTGCATCCACACTGCCACACTCCTCCCTGTGTCCACACTTTCACTTGCATGCCTTCCACTGTTAAGCTCCCTCAATCAACCATTTTAAGTCATACACTTGATAATACTATGCTTTCTTTGGTTCTTAGTATTTGCACTTCAGTAGAGGACTTGGGTCAAGCTCAAATGCATAATTATTCTGGAGAACAAATGTTTCTTTAATCTTTGTGAAAAAATATTTTGAGTCAAAGACTTGCCCCAGCATATACGTTCACACCACTGTGGATTTCAGTGAATCATCATTTTGGTCTGGTTTGTTTGACAGAGTTTTTAAAGATCTGCTCTTTTCTATTTAAAATGTTTACCATTTAAAATGCTGCTTATTGCATAATTTAAACACATACCTAATTAAGTGGCAGATCTGGAATCTTCTCTGCTATTTGTAACAAAATGCTACCTTTACCTTTGCCTTTGTAGGATTATGCAGAGAAAGAGAAGGCTGCAGCAAAAGCTCTGGAGGATGTGAAGGCTAACTTCTATTGTGAATTATGTGATAAACAGTATCTTAAACACCAGGAATTTGACAACCACATCAATTCGTATGACCATGCTCACAAGCAGGTAAACCTGAAAAACCATGCACGTTACTATAGGTATACCATCATTAAAGAATAATATAATTATCGCCACTTCAGGTTATATTGAATGGCATGTTTAAGAATGTTGTTCTTGTTAACTGCATCCCATGCTCCATTTACATTACTTTTGATCAAAACTCTGCTGAAGTCCATTAAATAGATTCTTTCCATTGAATTCACTGGATTGTAGATCAAACCTAAATGAAAGAATCTCTAAAAGTAAGTGCTATTTTAGGGTGGGAACAGAGTAAGATCAGGTTTTGAAAGAGAGTTGACTATTATTATATTTTATATTAATTATTTTAGAAGAGCAGCCTGTGAAATACTAACTGTCATGGGAACCATCAAATGCAACCCAATTTGAAATTAGTTTCCATTGAAATTAAATGTAAAATATTATTTTAGTCTTAAACATCATTGAATGTAAAACAATCCAACTGACTGGCCACTTCCCCTGATTTGAGATCAGTAATTGCACTGAATGTGATGTTTTTAAATGTGGAGTTGCCTATCAAACTAATGGAGATGTATCACTTTCTCAAACATTCACAGTTCCTCTTTTAGATTCATATGGCAAACAATCATGCTGTTTCAGGCTGATCATGCTGTTTGAAGGGCAGAAAAGCAGTTTGTTTTAAAAAACAAAAGCATATGTTATGAAGTTGAAATCTATGTCTCAATGTTTCTCAGGGTGGAATTCATGCTGTGTTATAAGAAGAACATAATGTAAGATAACATACTATTGAACAACATGATATGGTATTTCTGGAAGCAGATAGTCCTTTCTTATTGTTTGTCGTTATTTGTTTTACACCAACTTATTAATTACTATATGTTAGGTAGAGCTAGAATGTGCATGCTTGCTGCCCTGCAAGGTTGGCTTTCCTGACTTGCTTCTGAATGTAGCTAAATGCCCATTTAAAATGGCAGTAAAGCACTTTTCTAAAGTCAAATTAAGAACTGTGAGCCTTCAGAATTTCTGATGTAACGGATCAGGTTTTTCTTATGCTACACAAGATGTAATTGAAATGGGTTAGTCCAGTGCGTAGGGCAGGGGGAGATGATAAAGATAATTAAGTGGTGAAAATATAGGCATCCATATCCAAATGAGAAAAGAGACAGGAAGATAATGCATAATGAAGACAAAATCTCAAGAGAATTTTAGCTCAGAACTTTCTAATTATAAGACAGACACTGTAATGATTATGACCTGATTTGGGAGGTTCTGAGAAGATTAACCCATTTCCTTCTGGATGCGCTGCGTTTTTTTTCCTTGAGGGGAGAGAGGGTCACACTCTATCACAAAATATTTGATTAAGAATCACTAGATACTGCAAGGCTTATTTCCTCCCCATATACGTGCCATAGCAGCATGTTGAGACAAAAATGCTGCACTGACTCTCACTCAGATTTATTGTCCTGAGTGGGGTTGCACAGGCTGTAGGTTAGCCAAAATCTTGGGTCTAGACATCCCAAACAGCAGCATTCTCATTATAAGCCCAACTTTGCCCTCACTGACACTGTGCAAACCTAGTGAAGTCAGTGGCCGCATCTACACAAGCGCTGCTGTGCAGTATGTGGTGCCGTAAACATGTCTGTGGCACCACATACCATACATTCAGCTATTCTTCACACTGCAAGGTAGCAGTGGGGGGAGGCAGGGTGGGGAGGGGGGTTGAACCTGGGAGATCCCAGAGTCAAAAAAAACTGTGCAAAATAAAAGCAGAGTGGCGCATGCAGGGACAGTGTGTGCCACCCGAAACTGGAGCCCGGAAGCTGGAGCCACACTCCGGCTGCCGGGGAGGCTCCAAGCAGCAGGATCTTCACCGCTGCAGCCCCAAGAGGCCCTCAGCACCCCAGGTAAGGCTGCTGCAGCCAGCACAGTGCTGGCTCCAGCCTCTCCTACCCCACCTGGGATAACCTGCTGCACACCAGAGGGCATGTGGCACAGACGTTCCCTGGGGACAAGTAGCAGGGGCACAAGGTGTGCTGCTGCTTCTTGTTCCCAGGGTAACAAACGTCCACACTCATGTGGACACAGCCAATGTGGGCAAAGTCAACGTGTGGCACAGGTGTAACAGTTGTCACAACTTGATCCGTCCTTCACTAAACAAAACCAGATTTTTCTAATGGAATTTTTAAAAAACAAGCAAACAACAACAGCCCTTCACAACACAATTTATCCACAACAATGCCTGTATTAACATAAAACAAATACATTTTCATATCCCAACCGTGTGACGCTAATCCCTTTAATCCCCTTTTGCTACACAAAAGGATTTGCCTTCACCCTTTAGCAGTTTTTCTACTTGTCAGGACGGTCTCTAAACTCAAACAGATCCATTTCCAGCACATGGAGACAACCTGCCCTTGTGCCCATGCTACTCACTGGGTGTGATTAATGCAAAATGAAACTGCCATTTTGATGTGCCAGCCAGTTTGTCTTGGCAGCTTTCCATCCTAAAAGATAACATTTAAGCAGTAAAACTCTTTTTAATTTTTAAGTAAATGTCGTGCTCTAAAAGCTGCCAGATCAGCATTACCAGAGACTAGCAACCTATATTTAAATGCACATAGTATATAGCACATTTCATGGCAGCACAAGCTTCTTCCGTTCTTCCCTTTTAAAAGTAATTCTGAAGCTCAGGTAGTAGCTACATGATACAGGTGATAGGGTAGTTCTGTCTTCTGTATTTACTCTATATTTATTAACCTTAAAAGAAAATGGAATCACATTGCTTATGACCTCTTGAATTGTATTCTCTAAGGTTAGTTTCAAACTGTTAAATAGCATGGTAACCACAAGAAAAATTTCAGAAATGTCAATTTAATTCCTTTCCCTTAGGGCATGTCCTCTCTCTCAGAAATCTGGACAATTCCTCATTGCTTCCTCTGTTACATTTTTTTTCTGTTTCATGTTGCTCACATAGTTCTTTATTCTGGCAACAATCTTTTAATTGAGGCTGAATTAGACAAAGACTCCATCAATCTCAGCAGGAAAGGTTTACAATTGATCGAAGGGGTCATTTAGAGGAAATACAAAGTACTAGTACTTCCTCCAGCCTTCTTACTTCCTGTCCATAAGCTCCTGGTCACTGATTTGACAACATTCCTTGCCCAGCAAAATAGCAAAAAGTATTAATTTCTTAAGAAGCTATAAACATGGGGACCCATAAAATTAGAGAATGAACAATGTGAATTGTGAATCAATGTGAATTTGGCTATGGGCATTCAAAATAGGGTTGTTCAGAAAATAATGAGTGGCAAATTACTGTTAAAATTATTCAACTACTTAACAGAATATTATGGTATTATACTATGGGTGGATATTTTTGTGCTTTTTTTTCCAGATTTCCTACGGAAAAAGAAAAGGGCATTTTTTGTACAAGGTTGAATGAAGGTAGAGGCATTTATGGTTTCACTAAGTATAGTGCCATATGACCCTTGTTCTCCTGCACTATTTTTTTGTGTGTGGCAGAAAGATTTTCTTTATTTCTGCATCAAAATTGCAAAGCGTTGTATTTTATAAAAGTAATTTTATAATCTATTTTGCAATCTGATTTTAGCTAGTCATTAAAGTAAAGAATGCAAAACTTGGTTCTAATATTTGGTACAATACTCATTTTCTTCAGCTCTGGAAACTTATACGAGTTTACAGCAACAGCTTGGACTTGTTCTATTGCACTATGCTAACCTCATAAATTAGTTTAGTTTTACTATAGAATATTGTGTCAGAATTTTTTTGAAGTCCGTTAAGTTCGCTTTTCAAAAAAATATATTTTTACATTATCTCCTCCCTCCCAAAAATATACCATGGTCTAATATGATTTAACATAAAGTAATTCTGACTAAATTTTAAGCAGATGTTATATCTTCAATTGTCTTTACCAGCTGGAAAAGGTAACCCTTAGTGAAGAGTAAGTACTTGAGTGTAAATCTTAAGATGCTGCTTGTGTTTAGGCTGTCTTATCAGTACAAGGGCTTCTCTGCATCTGTTGTTAAGTATGGTATTAGAATCAGGGTTGGTATGGTGTTGGGGAATTAGAAGTAATGTCAGTGTGCAGCCAGATGTTTTAATTAATTATTTCTGGACCTTCCATCATCCTCACACAGCCTTATAATTGCAGGCAGGTGGCTTCAACACACAGACCTGGACATACACTGGAATTTGGCATGGGGATTGGGTTTGAAGACAAATTGTTGTATTAGCTAGTTCCTTATCAATTTTAATTGACATTTTACTAGGCAAAATGTTACTGAGTCCAATAGGAACTTGCCAGAATAAGGACCTCCAGAGAACACAGGACTGAAAGAGAAATATTTTACAAGTCTAATCCCCTGTGTCCTCAGGCAACCATTTCTCCAAAAATTCCTAAAAATCATTACAGGAAACCCTCACTATTCTCGGGTTCAGTATTCACGGTTTCAAATATTCACAAATGCCGAACCTGCTTCTTAAATACACTTAAAAGAGCTTCTCAGGAGCTCTATGCTTGCTGCTGCCAGGCTGCCAGCACCGGGCTTCCACCACCACTGCTGTGCTCCCACCGTTGCCAGAACAGCCGTGCCCTGAGCCACCAGGGGCACTGAGTTCATGAACACAGACAGCATTCATGAACGCAGTGCCTTCTACACAGATTTCACCATTCACAGGGGATAGAAGAACCTATCCCCCGCGAATAGCGAGGGTCACCTGTACTTCAGACCTAACAAGACACCCATGAGAAATGCCCTACAATGTGCCAAAGGTGAGGTGGGACTGACAAGGACATTGCCAATGGCCTGTCACTGCAATGACAAGAATCCACACTATCAGGGACTGATCCCTAGATTAAAGCAGAGCCTTTTCACTCTCTAAGCACAAGCAAAGATCTGTTGATGACAAGCCACTTTTAGAAATTAATACTTCCCAGAACTTTGAGAGGAAGCGAATGTGTCTCTGTGTTAGGGTATGGGTATTTTGCTGAGGCATGCCAGTGGCCT